GAAACCCTTGTCTAACAGCTCCTGAAGCTGTGTAGACAACTCCTGCATCTCAGGGGAGCTAAGTCGATATGGTGCTTTGGCTATCGGAGCCGCACCAGGAACTAGTCGATCCTGAACTCAACCTGCCTCTCTGGAGGTATCCCCGGCAAATCCTCGGGAAACACATCCGGGTAGTCACGAACAATAGGAACATCATCAATCGTCGCCTTGCCCTTCTCCCGGGCATCCAAGACGTAAGCTACAAAACCGGCGCAACCCTGCTGAACATAGCGCCTCGCCCTCGCGGCGGAACAAAAGATCGGTCCTCGCTGGGGCCTCTCGCCCTGAATCACTATCTCTCCCCCACTGGGAGTGCGAACCCTCACTAGCTGTAGCTCACAATCAATCACCACCCCATTGGGGCTCAGCCAATCCATGCCCACAATAACTTTATTCCCACGCAGGGGAATAGGAACCAGGTCCACTGAAAACTGCTCATCAAATATCTGAAGGGAACACCCTCTATGTACTCTGCCGACCCTCACGGTCCTATCATCTGCTATCTCAACCTCTAGTGGGCAATCCAGCTCCCTTGGAGCTCTGCTAAATCTCTTGCTAAGCGCAAGCGATACAAATGATCGGGTAGCCCCGAATCGAACAATACCAAAAGCAGGATGCCGTTCACCGAGAACGACCTAAATAAAACATATCATCAAGTAATATTCAAACGATATAATAACAATTAAAGATGAAGGAAAGATTCATACCCGTCACCACATCAGGAGTCGCTCGCGCCCTCTGCTTCATCTGAAATGCCCTGCTCTGCGCCACCGGCGCATCAGCTCGGCCCTGCCGGCCATCCGTAATCCTCAGGGTGGCAGGGGCAGGTGCAACCACCTTCCCTGCTGCAGCTAAACTGGGACACTGGGACCTTTTTATGTCCCCTCTGATTGCACTGAAAGCAAATCAGATCTGATGCTGTAACCGTAGTAGCAGGGGCCGTACAATCCCTACTCAAATGCCCAGTCCGACCGCACTTGTAGCAGCCGGAACTCCCTGCCTTGCACGCCCCCTCGTGCATCCTCCCACACTTGCCACACCGACCGTGGCTCTGCTGACGCCTGGACCTGTGATCTGAAACCTTGGGCTTTTTGCCCACACTGCCTAACCCGAAACCGCCTCCGGTTTCCTCTTCTTCTCCATCTCGAGATCAATCTCCCTCTCTCTGGCTCTAGCAATCATGTCGTCCAGCGTTTTACAACTGGACCGGCTCACAAACATGCGAATGTCACTCCGCAACATCTCATGATAACGGGCCTTCTTCATCTCCTCATCGGCTGCATACTGAGGAACAAGAAGGGCCCTCTCCCTGAACTTGGCGGTGATCTCCGCCACTGTCTCGGTAGTCTGGGTAAGATCCTGGAACTCCCTAGCTAACTGCTGCACCTCAATGACCGGTGCAAACTCCGCCTGAACCTGGTAGAGAAATCAGCCCAGGTCATGGCATCCAGTGCCGCATCATCCCCGATGGCATGTCCGACCTCCTCCCACCAATCCTGCCCTGTCCTTCAGAAGACAGGACGCCAATCTGACCTTGTCCCCCTCGGGACATCTGCTAGTGCGGAATGCGTTGGCCACATCCGCCAACCACCTGGTACTCGCTATGGGGTCCCGTGCCCCATGATAGTCTGGAGCCCGCATGCCCTGAACTCCCTGAACGTAAGTGTGCGCGACCCCATCACGGCCGCCATCTCAGCACGGAAAGTACTCAATCTCTCATCCATCAGCTCTAAAATACCCTCCTTGATCGAACCGAAGATCACAGGAGTCTGCTCTAGTATGATGCGGGTAACCTCAGAAGAAAGGAACTCCTGTCTGCTCATCCATCTGCCCGACCTCCGGGCCTGATCCCGATCCTGATCCCCTCCGGCATCTGAACTGCCGGCTGCTGGCCTCGGACGCAAAACTACCATTCTGAAACATATCATAACAACATCAGAACACTGAAATATCTCAAGGGATCATGATACTACTACTAGCTTCCTGGTCTTGTCTTGGCCTTCCTTATTCGAGTACGGATCCTCTGCTTTCAGTAGTATGGGCCCCTACTACCTTCCACATCTATCCGTACTTTCCTCAAGAACTGCCTTGACTCCACCAAGTCACTTCTACTACTGCCATTCTCTGCTACTCTCATCCTAGGCTTGCCCTAGGGAAACTTCAAGCTCAACGCGATGGTCCTCAGCTGCTGTAGGTCTCCTCATAATGCCAGTTAGCCACCACCTAAACACCATCACATGTGATGAGGATCAGATAATCCTTCAAGTAAAAGACCCGTCCCTACAACGGTTGGACTCAAACAAGAGCTGCGCAATAGGGCCAGTTCCAGCACTCTGGGATTATTCAAACCTGATCACATGTGGTGTGACGTGTTCACCTAATGGCTAACTCCCACTACTCAGAACCCCACTAAGCACGAAGGCAGCATTCGGACACGGGAAAAGACTCAGGCAAAACTATTCTTATAGCAAGAAACTGCACTAGCATAGGATGCTAAGCTCATACTATCAGGCATAACCTAAACAGGCTATCCTACTGCTGTCTACTCAATTCTAGCATGCAATACTCATAAAGCTGTAACACATAAGCAGGCACATAAGGCATTCTCCTAGATCCTTAGCCCTATACTAGCATGCTGTTCTACTGAAACTGAAACTGAACAAATAACTTGTATGGGTAATTTGGGAGTACTTACTTGAGCTCGGCTGACCGCATGCACACACCTCTATCTTGTTAAAAAAATTCTTCCTTTCTAAGTACTTTCAAAATTCTTTTTATAAAACGTTTTTATTTTAATAAAATCTTTCATTTCCCTTAGTTTGAGTTCAGATACACCCGGAAGTGTATCCGAATCCCTCAAACCAGGGCTCTGATACCAACTTGAAACGACCCAAAAACGACCCAAAATTTTTGTTTTAATATAATCAAAACTGTAATCAGAGTATCATATAATAAACCATGCGTGATGTATTCCAAAACATAATAAAATACTGTGCGGAAAACTGTATCATACTACATCAAATCAAACAACTAAATCAATCCCAGGCTAAAGCTGAGGCGGTGGTGTGTGCGATGCCGTCATCCCGAGCTCTTCCCTTTGCTTGCGGAAGTACCTGAAACCAAAACTGAAACTGTAAGCACGAAGCTTAGTGAGCTCCCCCAAAATACCACATACCATACAATAACAATATCATATAAATATCGGGCCTTGCCCACTGCATCGGGACGAAGCCCGGAAACTGCATCGGACCGAAGTCCGGAACTGACTGGGACCTTGTCCCCTGCATCGGACCAAGTCCGGAACTAACTGCATCGGACCGAAGTCCGGAACTGATGGACCTGTCCCCTGCATCGGACCGAAGTCCGGAACTACTGCATCGGACCGAAGTCCGGAACTGACTGCATCGGACCGAAGTCCGGAACTGACTGCATCGGACCGAAGTCCGGAACTGAGCATAGCATGCATATCATAACAACTAGCATGAACACATATACTGCATACTACATCGGGCCGTAGCCCGGAACACATAATACATAACACATAAACATAGCTCACAAATCCTGTCTGAGCCACGAAGGCATCAAACATACTAACTACTGCATCGGATCAAGTCCGGAAACTACTGCTAACTGGACGGGCCGGCATTGTGGCCTTAGACCCGTCCCTACTGGAAGGAAACTCACCTCGTAAACTGGCGCTGAGTGTGTGTCTCTGAAAGCTAACGGCTGCTGCTCCTGAATCTCCTCGGCTACAAGTCCATGAACACACTCAATCAAATACTAAACACTGCACTTGGGGTAAAATGACTCTTTTACCCTTGGTCAAAGTCAACTTACTTTTGGGCTGACTCGCCGAGTTGGGCCGCCCAACTCGCCGAGTCTCACTCTCACTTCCAACTCATACTCACTGCGACTCGTCGAGTGTGGCATCGACTCGACGAGTACCCTCTTGATCCAAGAACTCAGACAATCTTCATCCGACTCGCCGAGTCGTATGAACAGACTCGACGAGTTGTTCTTGATCCTAAGGAGATTGCCTTGGACTCGCCGAGTTGTATGAACAACTCGTCGAGTCCCTCCATCACTGAGTCTACCCTCAACTCGCTGAGTCCACTCTCTAACTCACTGGTGCACTCGACACTGCTAAAAACGAAGGAATCGGGGACTCGCGACCCGACTCGCCGAGTCGCTCATCCCGACTCGCCGAGTCGCTGCCATGCAGCTAGTTTTTACTCGATTTCTCTTGAATCCAACACATGCAAATGATAGATCTGGGTCCAATAAGCTGTTTTACCACGTAAAGTTTCCAACTTTACGTGCACAACCTCATGAATAAGGGAAATAGGCTAAAAGATGCACAAAATGAGTAGATCCATGGCTAATATGCAATGTAACTCCAAAAAGACAGTAGATCTGGGCTCTACAACACCCCAACATTCAGATCCAAAGGTATTTCGACTTATTAAGACATTCATGCAAACATAAGGCTTGGAACAAACATCAAATAGCTCTTAGAAGAGCTCTAATGGAAGTTTAAAGCATATAACAAGAAGGGAACTCCGAAAATACCTCAATAAACTCAGATTTGCCCTTGGATCTTTGCACTACAACTCGTTTCCTTGCTTCTTTCTTCTTCTCCTTCTTCACACCTTCACAAAAATGGCACCAAATCACTTATAAGCTCTCAAGGGAGGATTAGGGTTCTCTCATTGTGTTCTCAGGGTGAAAGTGGCGAGAATGAGGCTATAATGTGGTTTAAATAGTGGGCAAACTCGGGGATTTAGGGTTTCACCCAGACGGACGGACTCGCCGAGTCCGGGATATGGACTCGCCGAGTCCCCGGCTCCCGCATGCACAAAATACGCGACCCAACTCGGCGAGTCAGGCTAGAACTCGCCGAGTCCCTCTTGAAAACTTAGACAATTAACAATTAATTAACATACCGGGAACGGGTCGTTACACTACACCTGATGATTAAGTCCTGAAATAGAACTTATCTCCAACTTGGTGACTGATGAAGCTACATGAACCAGACTTCCTACCACTTCATGACCACACCCACTTATCCTTAGAACCCTGACAAAAGGTAATGGTTCAATTGAGACTCTAAGCAAATTAGGACAACTTTCAATACGAAGCTCTTGAAGGCATGGAAATGCTGTATCCACAACTACCCCATTATTATTGGTTGACCATGCCTCCCACCCTTTCATATCTTGAAAAGTTAGATCTTTAAGTGAAGGGAATGCAAGACCAGTAGTCCCAAGAAACTCCAAACCCACACCTTTCACCTCATCCATGCCTTTAATAAACAACTCCTTCAGCGATGGTAGCTGCCCAAGTGGCGGTAGATATGTACACTTTTTACAATCACTTATCCAAACACGAGTCAGCTGACCAAACGAGGGATCCCCAACCCAACTTGGAAACTCTATACATCCATATGACATGATTTTTAGTTCTTTTAAAGTATCATTATGAGGCTTGAGCTCAGTGAGAACCTCCTTTTCAAGCGTTTCCTTTCGAGAACCATCAAATTCATCAGTCCATTCCAACTCTAACTCACTTATCTTCTTTTCAGATAAGTTCGCTTCCTGTGCATGCATTGAGCCTTGTACTTTTTCCAGCCCCTTAATGGTAATTTTCCCTTGGAGAGCTTTTAAATCTTTAATGTCAATTATTGAAAATCCGTTGTCTCCTCCAAAAGCGACCCCATACAGAGTTTGTAGGCTTTTCAACTCAAGAATCCCTAAGGGCACCTTCTTTACACTTGGAGTATTCCTCATGTCAAAATGCCGCAAATATTTGAGCTTTGCGAGGCTCTCAGGCAACTTTTTCAAACAATAACAGCCAGAAACAATCAACGTCTGTAAATTATAAAGGTTGCAAACATTATTCGGTAAATGTGTGATTTCAGTTCCAGATAAATTAAGATACCGCAAGTGCTTCAAAGTACCAATTGATTCAGGTACCTCACTTATACTAAGTTGACACAAACTGAGGACCCTTAACAATGGAAACTCAATAAGTAAGTCATCGAGCACCTTATTTGATAACTGAAATGTTCTCCAACTTTCCTTTTTCCCAGAATATACTGCTAAGAATGTTCTCAAATTTGCAGCTCCTTTGAATGCCTCGAACCTTTTGTAAACCATGTAATCCTCACAAACCAACGAGAAATGGCGTTGCTTTTCCAAAGCTTCCTTCCTAAATTCCCTCTTCATCTCAATCTCTAACCTTGAAAAAAAATCTCCTGCCACAGATGTTGACAAATCATTCATGATATCATGCATCACAAACATCGATTTGGCATCAGGGGCATGCTGAAAAAATGACCTTGACAACAATTCATCAAAACCTTCATGGCCCAAGCGTTCCATAGACTTGCTTGTGGTTGATTGGTGCAAAAACCCTTCCGCCATCCACAACAAAATCAACTCCTCCTTATCGAACAAATAGTCTTTTGGGAACAAGGAGCAGTATGCAAACAACTGCTTCAAAGAGGCAAAGAGATCATTATAGCTTAGTTTAAGAGCCGGAACAATCTCATCTCCCTTTCCTGACTCCCATATTTTATTATTCAACAACTCCTTCCATTCTTCTTCTGTTTTTGTCCTCAACAACCTCCCAAGTGCGATCAAAGCTAATGGCAAACCGGCACATTTTTCGATAATACCTTCGCCATGCGGTTTTAGTGTCGGATGTGAGTCAAAGTTACTTTTCCCCAAGGCATGTTGACAAAATAATGATAGAGCATTGTCACATGACAAAACCGAAAGATGGTAAGGTTGATCGTAACCCAATTGGGTTAGCAATGACATCTTTCGAGTCGTCATAATAATTTTACTTCCGGCTTCCCCTGCAAGAAATGGGCGTTCCAAAATTTCCCAATCCGCATAGCTTTCACTCCAAACATCATCAAGAACTAGAAGAAATCGTTTTTTTGAAATCTTTTCTTGTATAGCTACTTGAAGCAAATTTAAATCCTTAATTTCGTGGTTTCTGCCACCTATGGATTCCAAGATAGTTTTGCTTATACCAAAGATATCAAACTCGTCAGAAACACAAACCCATGCCTTGAGTTCGAATTGATCCTTCCCTTGCATCTCGTCATATAAAAGTCTAGCTAGAGTGGTCTTACCGACCCCACCCATACCAACTATGGGCACGATGCTATAGTTTCTATCACTTGGTTCGCCCCCCAACAGCTTATGGAGCAATGATTCTTTATCACCTTCACGACCAACAATGGTAGATGCATCTACCAAAGAGGTCTGTAATCTTATATTTATATGTCTTGGGCTTTCACCTTTCACACTTAAACCAAGATTATCTTTTTCCTCTACCAGTTCTTGTAACTTGATGGTAATATTATCTAACTTGCTACCCATCCTACTACTTAGAGAGAAATTTGTGCAACAAGTTGGGATGATCTTTCTTACCAAGCTGGTTGAGGCTCCAGATTCATCGGTCAACTCACGATGAATAGCTTCGGTTGCCAAATCATCAAGTAAGTCGTTTCTGTCGTAAGACAAATGTTGGAGACCATTCAACCATTCATTAACAGCTTCATCACTTATTTCCTTCTGAGAAGCATCATTAAGCAGAGCTCTGATCTGGATTAATGACCTCTTCAGTTTCTTGAGCTCAGAATCAATTCCCTTGGAGCGAGCAATCTTCTTCAAGGCTTCAGAGGCCAACTTTTCAAAGACCGCTGTCAAGAATGCAGAAAGAACGATTTCAGCCATTGCTTATTGTGAAGACTCAAAATGGGAGCACTTGGTATGTTTGTATGTATGAATTTTTGTGATGCAGATGAAATGAGTGCAGAAATAAGAGCGCCATTCTTAATAGTGATTTCAGCCATTTTATGGTCAACATTTTATAATATATATTCCACCTCCTAGCCGGCAGACAAAATGCGATCAACCACCCCACAATAAATAAATAAAAAAAAAAAAAAAGAGGGGTAGGGAAAACACAACATTTACCAACCACTAGACAACATAGAAAGGGATAAGATAATGTTAGATTCTAATATAATATTAATATTATTAATCATTTTTTCCACATCAGTTAGTAATAGTTAAGCATTTTTTTAATTGAGGTATCAAATAGGGAACATCACTTATATATGTTCAATTATATCATCTTAGCAAAATCAACATTTTCTATGTTGAGACATTTTTTATAATAAAGATTTATACAAATTTCAAATAACTAAATCTTTAATTGTCTTCTTGGTTGGTACTTGACTACTTTCATATATACGATACATTCTATTGGGAAGTAAGTTTTTAATTATAACAAACGCTTAATAATTCTCATTTATCAAGGGGATACATCTCCACTAGTTTGTTATATTTATTTTTACTTTTGTTTATTTGTTAAAAGTCACATTTAATGTAAGCTTTTACACAAGATACCTACGTGTACGTCCGATAATAAGATTAACATATATCAATCTGACAGCAAGTTGCTACCACTTATAAACATATTCAAGTTAGTTTGCATTAGGTATTTAGATACATCCAGTCAAGTGGCAATAATCTACAAAATATTATTGCTTCAAATTTACCTTGTTTGAGTGTTTAAAATAACAAGCAAACTGGAAGTAATTGGCACATCATATCATACATTGTTTTGGTCTTTTGTTTCTATATATATTTACTTTTTCCAAACATATCAATAGCACTTTTTTTACAAAATACCAAAAGTTCAAACATTTCAGAACCCAGATTATACAAATCAAACCAAGAAAAGCAAAATGACTCACACATAGCAAATACAAAATCAGATCAACAATCTGATACATGAATAAAATTCAAAATACAAAACAAAAACGCAGATTAACACTCTAATTAATCATCAAAAGAAGCAGCAATGTACAATTTAAGGAAAGAGAAAAGAAAGGACATGGATGGAAGTGAGAGGAAAGTAAAAGAAATTGTTGTTTTCCGAGTTTCTTTAAAGGAAGGAATTGGATTAATGATCACTTTCTCTCCTAACATTCCTTTCGATTTCGAAGGATTTGAAGAGAAAGAACAAAATCTTTAACTTTCATTTCACTTCTCTCAAACTTAGGAACACAAAAAACAAATTTATTTTCTTTTCTTTCCTTCCCTATTATAGAAAGAAGGTCTCGTAGTCTTTTCCAAAAGAATAAAACTATAATTATTATCAGATAGAATACGGTAGACATTAAAAAATATATAATTTATTCTGAAGCATACAGTATAACCATTCAGCTAGAATATGATAGACATTGAACATATTTATATTCTAACATAATGATTTGATGTAACATATTTATACACATTTCTGTTATAAAACAACACATGTTGGTTAAACAACAAAAGATTCATAAATAAATATCATATGACCCAATATCATATGAAAAATATCTTGCAACATCACAACCTTAACAAATAAAAGATGGAAAATAAAAACTTGATTAATAACAAAACATTAAAATTTAGCTTGAAACCCTTTGTTCATAATAAACAACAGAAAACAAAACGTTTATAAAAAAGAACAAACACAAATATGAAATAAAAAATAGAAGAAATAATCCAATTAAATAGAATTTCATAAACAAACTATTAAACCCTAAATGTAGACGTCGTCAAAATTAAGGACAGACCCACTCCCTAAGACAAGAGACTATCAGCGTAACCTTCATAAACCCTATCACCTGGCAACCGGCGACGATTATTATACGGTTTGTGAAAAATGATATTAGTATCTAAATATGTTTTAGGTGAGTTGGATTCAGAGACATTTGATGTATTTATACATATGATTGGTCGCGTTCCAATTTTGTAGTCAAGGACATCATCCCAACTAAGGTTTTCCTTTTTTTATATCAAGAAAGCCTTTTTCAATTATCACCTTCCAGGTTTCAATTTTCACAATCCTGTATTCGAGAGTTTTGCATGCACACTATGTGTTTGATAAAATGTTTGACTGATGGTTCAGTATTCATTTTCCGTAATGTTTAACATGTAGCCTTTTGGCAGAAAATTAACCTGTATTTACAAAAGGGGTGCGTATGTTCTTATTTGCCACATTTAAGTAATTTATAGAATAAATACTTATTTATAAATACTTCATCCTAAAAATGATCACTTGGGGTGATAACATTAATCTGCAGTGGTGACTAACGACCTTCAAAAGTCACTTATTGTTTGACTCAGATGAGGTTAGAAATGCTATGGCATATCATTTGTTCTATTTCATTGTTTATACTACTTTCATACCTTGTTTTTGTTCTTAATCATTGAAGGAGTTTATTTGTTCAGCAGAACCTGAAGCATGGCCCTTTTTGTGTCATATCTATTGACCAATTGATTTGAGAATTTTGAGAAGCTAGCTTTGTTTATCCCAAGAAATACGAAAAAAAAAACCATTTCTCTCTAGTGACCATAATCACTATCAAAGCCACTATTATTTGTATGATACCATATCTTTCATTGTCTCTCACCTTTTCTACAAGATCTCTGCTTTCATGATTGTTCAATGGTGATTAATTTGCTATTCACATTGGCTTCATATGGGCAACATGTTCTCCATTATGCCATGTTGGTTCTCTTTCTCCTCACAAGTCATCTACTTCAGATGGGTGCAAGTCAAATAACACTCCTTTAATTAGTCATAATAGTTTGAGGTCTAGAGGACCCTAGTGATGGTGGGAACTTTTACATCAGAGGTTTGAACACATGAGTTAGTGATTGAAGTCCTTAAAAATTCAAGTTTTTGGCTATGCACACGATGGTTGTTTCCATCATTGCAATATCACACTCTCGTCTCACACTATTTAGCATAAATATTATGAGGGTCGGTTGTTGCCAAATCATGATTAAATTCGGAAAACCAATTCGATAAATTCCATGAATTAGAGTTTCTTGTAAACGGAGGGCTCTGGTCATTTCATCCAACACATCAATATAGACGTCGGCATAAAGCTCATCAATACCAATGTGTTCTTCTCTTTATAATAACAAACTTTTTTCTATTAATGATTAGGGTTATATGCAAGAAAAAACAACATACTTTCACTGATTTGTTATTATAACATCCTATTTTCATTATTCATATTAGATCATTGTCATTTAAATTTTTTATCCAATTATAGCAGTGTCATCCAATCAATAGCAATGTAATTTCGTTGATTTGTTGTTATAGTAATTTTTAGAAGTATTTATTAGAAATAAAAATTGAAATTACAATGATATAGTTGGTTAGATTAACAACCCATTCGTGTAGGAACTTGATACACATGTGTTAGGCTACCATTACGATACACATATTCTAGAAGGTCAAGATAAAAATTCAAACCGAGTCAATTTTTCAAGTAGTGTTTTGGCCAGTTAGAAAAGTCAACAGAAGTTAGTACTTACATCAGGGGCATCAGGTTTGTTATAAGTGGCAGGGGAGTTATTTAGAAAGAGCAAGGTAGTGAGAAGTATTAAAAGAGAGGTGGGGCAGTGTAGTAGTCATCATCTTTGAATTGTAATAGCAAAATCTGTTTAGAGCAAGTTTTTGAGCCATGGGAAATTGGGAATAATATTTGTAACTAACTATACTAGAACAAGTGCACAAAACAATAGGAGAAATAACTTCTTTTTTTTTTTTTTTTTTTTTCTAAATCTATCGTTATATGCAATCAATTGTTGCACCATGCATCAAATAAGTCATGGGTATATCCGATGCCTACATAGGTGACATGTCCTCACTATATAAATTCTTTTTAGTTTTATTTTTAATACCTATAACGAGGACATTTCACTCCTATAGGTACTAGGCCTAAAGTTGTTTCAATTTCTATAGCGACCACATGTCCTACCTAAAGGTAGAAACCAAATTTCTAATAATTTTTTAATTTTATTTTAATTTTCCAAAACTAACAAAATTTGATAAAAAAAAATATCCAAAAAACCAAATTTCAAGAAATATATCAATTTTAATACCATAGTCTAAATACAAAGCAATTCTTCAATATAGCGATCATTCAAAATCTAACTAAAAACAAATCATTTGGAAAAAAAAAACAATCCATTGAAAGAAACAAATTATTCAGAAAAAACAAGCATTAAAGAAACAACTCATTGTCTCCTGCTTTCTCATCATCATTATACTCTTGTAGAAGCACATCACTATGCTGGTTGCAAGCTTTTGGCCCACTCCCTTGGTGTGACTGTGACCATCGACTGAAGAATAGAATTGTCCATGTTGCTTACGTGCATCACACTTTACAACAAGCCTCTTCTGCATATTTTTTTTAAACACAACGTTCAGAAGTAGTATTTTGTACCCCAAAAGGAATACTACATTTTGCATTGCCCCAACTAAAAATGAATTTAGACAACAAAATCGACTGAAATTTAGCTTAAAAAGATGCAGTTTTTATCCCATTGACACTGCAGCCCCTGTTTTGTCTTTTCGTTTTCTAACGAAAAGCTACAATTTTTCTGGTTAAATTCAAGAAATAGCAACACACTTCCATAACTGCTGCTGGAGTTTTGTTCATAACTGAAGCTACAATTTTTCTGGAATTTTGTTTCATAATCTTTACATTTAGCACAAACAGAACCTAAAATTGACTGGATTTATATTCTTTGTCATCAGTTTTACATTTAGAGGAGTTAGAGAGTACATTGCTATGTAATCTCAGCATTACCTCCACATTTAGATTTAGTACTAACAGAACCTAAAACAGTTTTATCAAGAACTGATACAACTACCTTTACTTTATAGGGAAAAGTCAAAGAATAGCAACCTACTTTAGGTCGATTTCCATTTTAGGTAATGAATTTTTCCTTTTATTCACATTAGCAAACAACGTGTTATTTTCATTCATTTCAGATAAGAATTACCGGGTAATGTTAAGATGTTAACATGGTAATGATCTGGACTTTCTATGTATATTTCAACTAAAAACAATTTTCCATCTTTAATTATTTTCTAAACATTTTTCAAAGCCCAAATGATTGGGAAAGAGAAAACCACTGTAAAATTGATCCTAAAAGTACATTGCCAAAACTGGGAAACGACATAAAGTAGGTTGCTATTATGCATATTTGAGCAGACTCAAGACCAACAGCATCCTATTATAATCTATCTTGTGAATCAACAATATTATTTATCAACAAAATAACAAAGTATTAACTTACATAATCATTAGCCCAACCACGGATTTGATTGTGATGCATGTTTTTCCAACCTTCTATCAGACACTCTGTTTTTGTCGTGTTTCTTTCGCCTACAAAAATCCAAAAAAGAAATTATTAGTACAATTTTAGAGCTAGTAATAACTATCTAATACTACTAATAGGTTATTGAACTATCTTAAGGCAATTTTTCTCTGTTTTCAGAACTAAATCATATTGGTCAACAATACAACTTGCTGATATCGGGACAAAAACTTATCATTTATGAATTATGATATACCTACTTATTCTTGAATGATCGCCAAAGTCTTATTTTTGAGTGAAAGAATGACTTATTATCTAATTTATGCATACACTGAACTATAAACTACAAGAAGTGAAAAACAGAGGGAGGGGCTTACCTTCATATTAAACTTATAATTTCGAGGGGATATGGGAGATCAGGGGCCAGTAGTCGCCTCTTTTACTATTTTTTTTTATTTTTTTTAGTTCTGGGCATCCATAGATCCTCACCCTCCAAAGTGAAGGCAGAAACACTTTTCGTAGATGCTTGAGAGAAACTTATTTCACTTTCTCAAAGTGTCTGACCAAAATTTCAGAAAGCAAAGAGTGCAGAATAGAAACTGCAGAATAAATCAAAATCAACATATTTAATGAAACCTCCCTCCATACACTTGATCAATGTCATTTCAAATAATAGTTTGTAATGTGTTAAGTTAGTATTACTCATAGGTTAGATGGATTGATGAATGAAGAACATAATAATTGACATTTTGAAATAAATAATTCTAAAATTCTCATGTATGTAAAATGATTCATCATTTGAGCATATTCATATTGTTTGTTTATACTTTATACTTCAAGTATTAGTATAAAGATTTTAAAGTCTAACTTGTAAAACTTCACCAAATAATGCGAACTCTACAATCAATCCTAATTCACAAATTATTTTGGAATTTTGAATCTGCTGATTTTCTTTAGAAAATTGAAGTATTTACGCTTCTTAAGTAAATATTTTGACTTATTTTGGAATTCATGATGGGCTTTCCATGTACACAACTTCAATCATATTCAATAACTAGAAACAGAAAAAGAAACAATCGCATGTGCATTTTAGCATCCATATATATTGACACACTGACAATATTTTTTTTATTATATACACGCTTATATCGATAGAATAGTTGCATTTTGTTTATAGAAGAAAGCAAAATCAATTATTATATATTTATAATTTATCAAGGTGGAGGGAGAAGCATACCTTCAGAGTAAGTTTGTAACTCCTCAGGATATCTGGATGAAGGGGATACGCGAGACAAGGTGCCAGTAGGAGCCTCTTTTACTACTCCTTTCTTTCAGATTTGGGCATCCAACAATTATCAACCTCAAGAGTGAAGGCAGCAACATTTCTGGTAGATCAATTATCTTTGGGCAGTTGTAAAGGCGGAGACCCTGGAGGGAGGTGAGGTGTTGGAGTCCCATTGAAACTGATTCCACTTTCTCAAAATCGTATATTTCAAGAGAAGTAAGAGATGAAGGAAGAAGATGGGACAATTGACTGAAATTACTCACATCCTCCGACTGTCCACCTACTAACAATAGGTCCACAAGCGAGGCTGGAAAAGTCTGTGGGCCCCACTTTGAAATGGACTTCTTCAACCCCCCTATTTCAAGAGAGGACAGCTTTGGAGGCCAAAGCCCACGAGAAAAGGAAGAATCCATACTTTGACAATTTAATATTCTCAGATGTGTTAACACATTGAGTTCTGGCAACTCGTGGTCAGGAAATGACTCCATATTTGGACAATTTGTTATTACAAGTTCCCTGAGGTGATTGAAGGAACTCAAATCAGTGATAGATTTCAGATTTGGCCAATTATGTATATATACAGATTCAAGCATGAGTATGTCTGAGTTGATCAGAGGCTTCTCTCGTCCTCCTAGCAACTCCTTTTCCAACAGATTATCACAATTCTGGATGAAAAGTGACTTGAGGCTATTTGGACAGCTGCAATGCTCCAAGATTTTACAATTCCATACGCCCAAGGTCGTAAGAGACGTTAGGTTGCTCCCAGAATTATCCTCCTCTTTCTCTCCTAAGCTCACCAAATTCGAACAACTAGCTACATCCAACTTCCTTAAATTCACAAGAATCTTACTTGCCTCTGCTTCTGATTCCCACAAGTATCTTATTTCATTACAGTCTTCAATATTTAGTTCTTCAACTGCCCCAAGATACTCTATAACACCTCCCCACACCTGATCATTAAGTCCTGAAATAGAACTTATACTCAAGCTGGTGATCGATGAAGCTACACGAACCAGACTTCCTAACACTTCATGACCGCACCCACTTATCCTTAGACTCCTCAGGGAAGGTAATGCTTCAACTGAGACTCTAACCAAATTAGGACAATTCTCTAACCAAAGCCTCTGAAGGCATGGAAATGTTGTATCAACAATTACCCCATTATTATTGGTTGACCATGCCTCCCACCCTTTCATATCTCGAAAAGTTACATGTTCAAGTGATGGGAATGCAAGACCAGTAGTCCCAAGAAACTCCAAACCCACACCTTTCACCTCATCCATGCCATTAATAAACAACTCCTTAAGTGATGGCAGCTGCCCAAGTGGCGGTAGATATGTACACTTTTTACACCCATATATCGAAACACGAGTCAGCTGACCAAACGAGGGATGCCCAACCCAACTTGGAAACTCTATACCTCCATATGACACGATTTTTAGTTCTTTTAAAGTATCATTATGAGGCTTGAGCTCAGTGAGAACCTCCTTTTCAAGCGTTTCCTTTCGAGAACCATCAAATTCATCACTCCATTCCAACTCTAACTCACTTATCTTCTTTTCAGATAAGTTCGCTTCCCGTGCATGCATTGAGCCTTGTACTTTTTCCAGCCCCTTAATGGTAATTTTCCCTTGGAGAGCCTTTAAATCTTTAATGTCAATTATTGAAAATCCGTTGTCTCCTCCAAAAGCAACCCCATACAGAGTTTGTAGGCTTTTCAACTCAAGAATCCCTAAGGGCACCTTCTTTACACTTGGAGTATTCCTCATGTCAAAATGCCGCAAATATTTGAGCTTTGCGAGGCTCTCAGGCAACTTTTTTAAACAATAACAGCCAGAAACAATCAACGTCTGTAAATTATAAAGGTTGCAAACATTATCCGGTAAATGTGTGATTTCAGTTCCAGATAAATTAAGATACCGCAAGTGCTTCAAACTACTAATTGATTCAGGTACCTCACATATGCTAAGTTGACACAAACTTAGAACCCTTAACAAAGGTAACTCGAGAAGTAAGTCATCAAGGACCTTATTTGATAAGTAAAATGTTCTCCAACTTTCTTTTTTCCCAGCATACACTGCTAAGAATGTTCTCAAACTTCCAGCTCCTTTGAATGCCTCAAACCTTTTGTAAACCATGTATCTCTCACAAACAAATGAGAAATGGCGGTGCTTCTCCAAAGCTTCCTTCCTAAATTCCCTCTTCATCTCAATGTCTAACCTTGAAAAAAAATCTCCTACCACAGACGTTGCCAAGTCATTCATGATATCATGCATCACAAACAATGATTTGTCATCAGGTGCATGTTGAAAAAATGATCTTGACAACAACTCTTCAAAACCATCATTACCTAAGCGTTCCATTGACTTGCTTGCGGTTGATTGGTGCAAAAACCCTTCTGCCATCCACAACAAAATCAACTCTTCCTTATCGAACACATAGTCTTTTGGGAACAAGGAGCAGTATGCAAACAACTGCTTTAAAGAGGCAGAGAGATCATTGTAGCTTAGTTTAAGAGCCGGAACAATCTCATCTCCCTTTCCTGAATCCCATATTTCATTATTCAGCAAATCCTTCCATTCTTCTTCGTCTGTTTTTGTCCTCAACAACCTCCCAAGTGCGATCAAAGCCAATGGCAAACCAGCACATTTTTTTATAATACCTTTGCCATGTGGTTTTAGTGTTGGATGTGAGTCAAAGTTAGTTTTCCCCAGGGCATGTTGACAAAATAAAGATAAAGCATTATCACGTGACAAAACCGAAAGGCTATAAGGTTGATTGTAACCAAGTTTGGTTAGCAACGACAACTTCCGGGTCGTCATGATAATCTTACTTCCCGGTGCCCCTGCAAGAAATGGGCGTTCCAAAATTTCCCAATCGGCATAGCTTTCACTCCAAACATCGTCAAGAACTAGAAGAAATCGTTTTTTTGAAATCTTTTCTTTTATAGCTACTTGAAGCAAATTTAAATCCTTAATTTCGTGGTTTCCCCCACCTATGGAATCGAAGATAGTTTTGCTTATACCAAAGATATCAAACTCGTCAGAAACACAAACCCAGGCCTTGACTTCGAATTGATCCTTCCCTTGTATCTCGTCATACAAAAGTCTAGCTAGAGTGGTCTTACCCACCCCACCCATACCAACTATCGGCACAATGCTATAGTTTCTATCACTTGGTTCATCCCCCAGCAGCTTATGGAGCAACGCTTCCTTATCACCTTCACGACCAATAATGCTAGATGCATCTACCAAAGAGGTCTGTAATCTTCTGTTGGTATGTTTTGGGCTTTCGCCTTTCACACTTAAACCAAGATTATCTTTTTCCTCTACCAGTTCTTGTAACTTGATGGTAATATTATCTAACTTGTTACGCATCTTACTACTTAGTGAGAAATTTGTGCAACAAGTTGGGATTATCTTTCTTACCAAGCTGGTGGAGGCTCCAGATTCGTGGGTCAACTCACGATGTATAGTTTCGGTTGCCAAATCATCAAGTAGGTCATCTATGTCGTAAGACAAATGTTGGAGACCATTCAGCCATTCTTTAACAGCTTCATCACTTATTTCCTTCTCAGAAGCATCATTAAGCACAGATCTGATCTGGATTAATGACCTCTTCAGTTTCTTGAGCTCAGAATCAATCCCCTTGGAGCGAGCGATCTTCTTCAAGGCTTCAGAGGCCAGCTTTTCAAAGACTACTGTCAAGAATGCAGAAAGAACGATTTCAGCCATTGCTTTATTGTTAGAGCAGAGAATATAAAATAGAGATTTGGATGAAAGGATGCAGAGAGAGAATGTATCAATAATTGTTTATTCTGGAGAATGTATCATTATACAGGGAGAACAATCTGAATTATTGCTTATTGTAGAGATGTGGATGAAACAAATCCACACCAAAATTTTGTGGCCCCTAAAGTTGCAAGTTGCAATTGTCCAGATACACAGTATTGGAGTTTTTAACTAAAGGAAAGTATCTACAAATATATATATTTACCAAATCATTATATTTAAAAGTTTGCTTACAAAAGATGTAAATGTTACTTTGACCCAATTTTTATAACAATAAATAAACAAGTGGACCGTTGTTTCTGCAATGGTCCCCACCTTCTTCTCCTATAGTTATATTGCTTAAATCGATGTTATCTCAACTGTGTTAGCCTTCCATTCTTTGATGGGTTTTCATCGTCCAAACCATTTGAGCTTAAAGTCAAGAACATGAAATGTAGAGGTCGCCAATTGCATTCTCATTGTCAGTGTTCCAGAAAGAGATGGATCTTAGAGACCAAACCACCTTCATTGCATACAATACCAGTTTCAGTTCCAAAGAAACAAGAGCTTATGCGTTGATGTGGTATTTAATGGCAGAAAAGAAAGAAAGACAATATGAAAGGGCAGATTCTCGATGCTGACAAATGGTGACATGAATGAGTATTTTTACGCTCTTTCATGCTTAGAATGTAAGTTATAACTAAAGGAAAGTGGTCAGATCAAGTTGCATATATGCATTGAACGAAACCTAAATCGATATTTAAGAAGAAAATTTGTGAGGTCTAACTGTAATTATGCCCTAGTTACATACTTTGATGCAGATTGATGTACGATTGTTCATGAGTCTCATACAAAAGTTCAGAAAATAAACCGGTTAATGAAATGAAGACGTAGAGACCGGGAGACATAGCTTCTTATATACCTCCGTCTTCTTCTTGCTAGGCAGAGGACTTAGGAGCAGGAACTACAGCATTGGTTCCCTAAATGGTGGAGACTCAACCGCTTGAGGTGGAAAACCAACCGGCACTGGAGCACGTGGCGAGCACAGAGGTTGATTCGCCGGAGTGGGAACAAAACCCGTCGGAGAAGAATGGGGAATGACAGGAAGCTGAGAACAAGTACAACAATGGTCCATTTTTTAGAGTAAATAACAAGAACGGTCCCCGTGGTTATTTAACCTTCTTGAATCAAGTCTAGCTTTTTAAATTTTAACGTTCATAATCCCTTAAAGTTTTATTTATATCATTTATCATCACGTTAATCTTTTATTGTTAAAGTCACTAAAAATATAATGTCAAAAAAAACAATAAATACTGTACTTGGTTAAATTTAAAAACCCAACTTTATAGGCACTTAATAAACATGCCACAAATCTTTCCAAATCTTTTGTCAAATGTTATCAACTACTCTATCCTCATGTGTATATCCATGAGCAGCTTCATCTTATATCAATTTATATCAACTTGTAAAATACAATCTTTTTAAATGGAAATATTTCAAATACAACCCACTTATCTGATAAACCATAACATCTAAATTTCCCCATGAAAGTGCTTTTTTCTACTTGAGGAAAAAACATATGTTGATATGCATTTAGGACTAAAAAAAATGTGTCGAATCTTGTCATATATGTAAATCATTAATAGAATTAGTAGGTTTTCTCACTCTCTTCTTTTTCTTTTGTTTCATATGACCACAAGATGTACTCACCTTTTATTTTTCATTTTTTCTGTGTCATTTCAGTTTTTTCTCATTCTTCTTTTTGTAACGTTCCAAAAATTATAGATAAAAATTTTCATTTTAATTACTCCGAAATCAATCAACTATTTATTCCAAAAGATAAACATAGTAAAAACATTCTCAAAACATCAAAGTGTTCAAGTCAATGCGGAAAATAAACTTCGGGGGATGCAGTGCGATCAAGTCGAGCTCCTCCTTTTGTGAACCAGAAATACCTAAAGCATGTAAACACAAAACCATAAGCACAAAGCTTAGTGAGTTCCCCCAAAATATCATATACCATACAAGTCTAGACCTAGCACATCATATATGTTATTGGGCCTATCCCATGTGATTGGGCCTAACCCACATACTAAGGCCTAGCCCGTGGCATTGGACCTATCCCACATACTTGGGCCTAGCCATATACTTGGGCCTAACCCACATTAGCACATGCAAGTGTCACACAGACATCTAACATTCTTCAATATAGTGAGAAAACTCACCTGAATCATGAGGTCAACTAAACTGCCGCTCACAGCTACATAATTAATGTAAAAATCATCTATCAAATCATACAACGTCCAACCGTAGTCTAAGACCCTAAATCCAGCCGTTTGGTCCAAAAGTTTAACCCAGGTCGACAAGTTAATGGTCAAAGTCAAAGTCAACGGTCAACATACCAACAGTTGACCCTCACGTCGTGAGCAACCCTTACTCACGTCGTGAGAATACACTCAGCCAGATTCTAGCTCGCACTCACATCAACTCAGCAACGCGGACTTACTAGCTCATTGATGGATCGCGGATGCACCCACGTATGTTGGGCATACGTAGAAGAACGTGGGGCGTACTCTAGCCAACTAAAAACCCTAATCTTTAGGGTTTTACCCCCTATATAAACTCATTATGTCCCTTGAGCCTTGCCTCTTATCAGTCTTTGTACCTCATATACCCTATGATCAAAACCTTAGCCTCCCATATTGTGTTCTTGAGCTTTGGAAGTAATTTTGGTGTTGTTTTGTGTGCATTGAAGAAGGTGGTGCTTGGTGACCAAGCTTTGGTTGGACTTGAGGTTGTAGATCCGAAATCTTCATCAAGTTTGCTAGCTCCAGAAGGTATAAACATCTTATCTTGTAATCTCTTTGTGTTAGATTGAGATTAGGGCTTTTTTTTAGCATATTATGGTCTTTTGGGTTCTCTTTGGGAGTTTGAAATACTCCAAGAGCTAGGATGCTATATCGTAACCCCTTATGATGTTCCTGTTGGGTTTTGAGCATTCTAACACTCCTAAGTGTACATGCAACCCTAAATACCTTGGATCTATGTTTTCTCTATTATACATGCAAATAAGAACATCCAAGGTATTATCCTAATCTAGCATACAAAAAACTATGAATGTAACAAGATAGAATACATACCTCTTGATGTAGCTTGATGTCTTCAAGCTTTAAGAGCTTAGCCCCAATAGTGTGGAAGCCTCAAGTGGAATCACAAATCACCAAGACACCTTGGAATACTTTAGAGAATATGGATACTTGGTTTTCTCTTGTGAAATTGGCTAGCCCTTCTTAGTGTATCCACACTAGTGCCCATTTCACTAACCAAGGACATCTTTATATAGTATGGAGGATTAGGGTTAAACCCTAATACCCATGACCTATCATTTCCTAGGATCCATGGGTTAAACACTCCATGGACTATCCATGAAAGCTTAGCCCAGCCTAAATGAACTTGGCCCATTCCATATATATATAAGAGTCCATATTTAATTAGTTCCTTTTGATCACTTAATTAATTATAAATTAATTCTTGATCAATACTAATTAAATAATATGATTCCATGATAATATATTAGAACTTATAATATATTAATATTAATCATAAACATACTATTCTCAAAAGATTATCCATATAAATTGTGTCGGTGAAGTGCAACCCAAATGGACCATGCCGGGTCGGGTCAAGTACATACCAAATATAGTTATGGACTTAGACATTAATCCAACAGTCTCCCACTTGGATAAGTCTAAAACTATTATTGCGTATGACTTCAAACCTAACTGGCAATCGTAGCTCTTAAAGCCGCTGTCGAACTCTGACCTTGTCGGTGAACTCTGACCTTTGTCAATGACTTGTCCATTAGATAAGGGATCATATATTCCTCCATTCTAGATATCATATGGACTCAGACATGGATTATAATCATTCTCTCTGTCCATTTGTTGTTTCCCGATTTTCGATTTATGACGACTGACTAATTGAACAAATCAAATCAGTCCTGGCCCGGCCGAGCACTTCCATTTGTCATCATCAAATCATCGAGGGGCCCACAGATATCGCTTTTATCCCGAAGGTAAAAGGAACGGATAAACTTCGACTCATATGGCTTGTTCTACTACTTGTTGAATCACACACAAAGACACGTTTTATACACCGAGTTACCAAATGCGTTTTCGTGCAATCAATGTACTACAACTCATAGTAACAACTCATATCTCTAGGTTTGAAGAATATAAGATATTATCGTCTCATGATCACTCGTGATAAAATCCATGAAGTGATTCCAATGAGCGCGGGTTGAATCCAATACTCAGAACTTATGAGCACTCATGAGTGTTGTAGCCCTTTGTCCAACACCTTAGACCTCTACAAGCCAACCCATGACAGTCTTAATTCATATCTACTTCCAACATATGACCGACTGTGGATGGTTTGAATAACTTAGTCATTCCGGAAGAATAACCTAGTTTATTCGGGAAGTCAAAACATGCAAAGTGAAACACAATAATAATTGAATCCAATATGGTATCAACCTATGAACATAAATAAAACACCTTTTATTTATCACCATATGATTACACATTATTCATTGTATACTGTTTCAGCTATCAACTTTATTCTTGAATTTAAAACAATAGTTGTCCCATGCTCCAAGCATGTACACTATGTTTTCTAAACACTAGTCATGCCATACACCAAGTATGCATACTATGTTTGTCTATGATCTTTACTTTGTGAACTAGATCAATTGAACATAACTTCAATGATTCTCTTTTCACACTCCCAAATCCTTACTGCAAATGCAAGAATTCCAAATTCATGCCATTTACTGAAATCTGTTAGATTCTAAACTTATATGCATTGATCCTCTTGTAATGATTATGCACAAAGTCATAAAGACTTGACAACAAACATTACAGAGCATTCCAAAGGAGATCAACTCCTTGGAAACATCCTTCTTG